AGATTTGGAACGAAAGTTCAAATATATTGTCACACACACATATATCGGTAGGCACTTGCTAAAGAATCTTGACGATGGTCGACTTGATCTTGAGTGTTGGTAGCATGGTTACATGAATATTGTCTGGATGTCGTTGTTGCTGACGTTCGGTTAGGCTGGGCTGCTGTCTGCTGCTGACGATCGGGTTGGCTGGGCTGCTGTCTGTTGCTGACGATTGGGTTGGCTGTGCTGCTGTCTGTCGTTTCTTCGTTTTCCCGTCAAGATGGCGGCTTGACGCTGCTTTTGTCTCCCATCACCTCTGAACTACCATTTGCTTTGCTGCGAGTTAGGGTAGGGGGATCGTGCGTGAGTCACAGCAAACTCACGCTACCCGGATTCTCCACCAATTAAGACAGCCTTTTTGGGGTGATCCCAATAACTGTCAGGCCTCGGTTTGGGGAATTAGCTATTGGGAGCTAGCCTTGAAACAGGAGAGAAGAGAGCTGTGAGGTCCTTAGGGTTTATTCAAGCAAGTGTGCTATCATTCAAGTTACATCAATTAATATATAATAGTGACGTACAATCATAATAATGATAATAATATGCTAACACATTGTCCATCTAATAAAGGCATAATAATAAAGGCAATGTATTTAAATTGGAGTATGTATGGTAACATTATACAACAGATGCAGTATTTACTAGAATAATAACCGTAATGCTAAATAACATTTCTTAACAGCTAAATTGAGTAGTCGTAACATTTTAATAGAGCATGTACGGTAGACTGCACAAACTGCTTAGATGAGGAACATGACATTTACTTGAAAAGACGGTAAACATTAATATTTGTGGTTTCAGTAATAATTATCACAACATAATAATTTCGGCTAATACGGAAAGTAAATACTTGATCTAAATAAAGATACGAATGTACGCGGTAGAAGACATAGCTCGGTTTTAGTTAGTGTAATTATTAGTTTTAGTGGTGATTACTTTGGTGACTATGGTAATGAATCACGGCGGCTATGTTGCTATTGACTACGCACATTTCCTATATATATACGGAGCTAGACGATAACAGCTAATGGAGTGAATACGGCAATTGTATACTTAAACGATGCGCATTTAAATGTACGTTGTTATGAAGTATAAAAGATGACTATAACACTGTTTAAATGACTACGGTAATAAAATTGTAGTATAGGTTGTGTTGTACCGTATGCAACTATATGAGGAAAGGGACTCTTTACAAGTATATTCAAATACTTACTTAATGAGGATAAAACCTAAGAAATATGGAATGCGTTGTTATAGCCTATTCTGTAAGCGCACACGGAAGGTAAAGCTGCTCATATAACCTTTGATCGGTGGACTGTCGGAAAATATGGACTAACCGACCTACGTATAGAATAAATCTTGCTTGAAACAGTTGTGTTAACTCTAGGAACCGTTTTGTGACTAAGCTACATGTACGCTATGCTACTGCACGGAAATATAAACTGTATATGCATCTGGTATTTTGAACAGATGATGTTAGACATAGAAGGAGAAAATAATCATGGATGTCGAAATATAGGAGAGAACTATTGGTGCCGCATATTAATGACACATAAACTGGAGGAGCCCACGACGCATTACACTTCGAATAACACTGGGAAATTACTGTGTATTAAACAGTAAATAATATATATAATGAGCAGTCATTTAGAACTTGTACAGAGTAGATTGAGAGTTACAATATGGCAGCACTGATTCAACTTAACTATAACATTTTCTAGACAATAATAACAATGAAATAAGAAGTTTAGTCATAAAATAGGAATATTTAAATGTTTCTTACCTTGAAACAAGAGAGAAGAGAGCTGTGAGGTCCTTAGGGTTTATTCAAGCAAGTGTGCTGAGGACCAACACCCAAGGAGTTATATACCCCACAGCTCTACTCTTATCACATTAACAATTACTTTGAAGTTGTAATTTCGGTCTCTGTTATCTGTCAAAGTTGACTACACAAAAGACTACACAAAAGCAGGTGGTAATAGAATGGTATCAGTATTGCCTGAGAAGAGTTTATTTTAATTACAGTTTAAGATGGTGGTCAAAACCTGCGCCAGCTGGTAACAAAACATTTATCAAGAGAACAAGGGCCGGGGCGGACGTACGCGCCGACTTTATCTATGATTATGTAATTTACTGTTCGCGTGAATGAGCTTGCCAAGGAGCAGCCGTCATGGTCGACCAGTGGCGATAAAAACGAGAAATACTGGTCTAGCGACTTTCGAATTTTAGAATTTCCTAGTTTAAGTTTAATTTGTTAAAAATATAAAAAGTGTAATACTGGTCTAGCGACTTTCGAATTTTAGAATTTCCTAGTTTAAGTTTAATTTGTTAAAAATATAAAAAGTGTAATGAAATATATGCACTGTAACAATACCCCTGTGCGTCGTGGAGCTTTTGTCCTCAAAAGCCAAAAGAAAAGGATTAAAATGAAGCGAATATACATAGATAATCAGAATACAATGATACAATAGATTACGTTGGACATGAACAAATGTTTGCATGAAGATAGTTTGATCAGTTGAAAACATAAGGCACACGATTTCCATTACAAAGATTCTGAAACATACCTACATATTAAACTACAAGAAAAATGACAATTTGAAGTAATGAACAAGCATTTCTGTGAAAAGGAAACCGGTTAACAAGAATATACATAATATGAGGAAAGGTTGTTGTGTGATGAGGGAGTTTTTAGCGTTCCCCAACAATTTGCCCTTACACTGTCAAACATTTCACATCACGCTAGGTCTACGATTTGAAAGTATCCGTTGTGAAATATTAGGATATAGGTGGCAAAGGGGTGCTTAAAGAGTTTGTGAATGTGCGGGAAGTGAGGCACCAGAAGGCGGTTGGATGTGCCAATAGGAAGGACACATAGTGAGTGGAAGAATTGGAATTGAGGCACACTCAAGTAAGTTGAGATTTTGAGACAAGGATGAGAAATGCTGCCCAAGGAACAGCCAAGATTCCTAACAGAATGGTAACATTGTAGTCTGTTAAGGTGGTGATGACAACGAGAGATTAACGGTAGTTGACGTGTACGTATCATAGTTAGGGATTGGAGGCAAAGCAAGGTTACTCAGGACAGGAGGCATGAATATCAGCCGAACTCAAGGATAGTGGCTCCCCATGATTGACCAAAGACAAAAAGAAACCAAAGTACAAGTCAGATGGGATGACCATTGATGCAGGAAAGTTGTGGCCACAACATTTCACTGCGTAGCACTTATAGAACACAAGGCAATTTGATTACCTGTAGGGGGTGGTCAGAGCTCATCTACCTTGACAAATGATGACTTGTTGCCAGGAGGAATAGCATGGAAGGTCACGACCTATGATTTTGCAAAATATCTGTGTTTCCGTTTCCGTCTGTGACCAGATCCTGTTCTAAATGTATGGTAATCACTTACCATTTCCGCACTAAGGTTGGAGGCAGGTTCCCAGGTGCGTTGGGGGTAACCTTCCCATTCAATTAGGTAATGAGTTACTCCTGACTTCTTTTTAGCTTTGCGTTTTACAGCATAAAGTTGATCATCTGGTTGGGCAGATGATGTGGGACTCTGTGGAATAGTGTCAGAGTTATCAGACGAGTGAGGTAGCATAATGGGATGCTCTACGGAAGTGTGCTGTGTTGTGGTAGGGTTGTCAGGATGGGAGGATGTTGACTGAGTTGGAGTTGATTGATGCCCGGCTGTTTGTGAGGCTTCTCTACGAGGATTGTCGGGCTGGGAGGCTGGCGACTGAGTGGGTGTTGCTAGATGCTGAGCTGGTTGTGCAGGTTGTCTTCGAGGGGTTGGAGGTGTATAAGTTTTAAGTCTGTTGGCATGAATGAAGGATTTATGTTCTTTGTTTGTGTTAGTGTTCAGTAGTTTGAATGTATGGTTTAGACTGATGCGAATGATTCTGTAAGGTCCTATCCATTTCTTTGACAGTTTGGGGGAAAGGCCAGTTTTGAGACAGTTGGATCAGTCATGAGAACCTGATCAACAACTGCAAATGAAGGTTTCTTGGCTCTGATATCCTGAAGATTCTTGCTTTTATCCTGAGCAGCAGACACGTTGTCCTTTGCAAGGGATTTTGCCACATTCAGATTTTTCAAGAGATCTTGAAGATGACCCTGTGCATCTTTGCCGAGGGTAGATTTAGGCAGCAAGGTTGTGTCAAAAGGAAGATTCATTTCCTTTCCAAACAGAAGGTAGTGTGGTGAATACCCTGTAGATTGACAAGGTACATTGCACATGGCCATCATAACACATGGAATGAGTTTGGCCCAATTGGTCTGATCAGGGTCAGCATATGTTCGGAGAGCCTGCTCTATGACACTGTTCCTCCTTTCACACATCCCATTAGTCTGGGGGTGGTAGGACGAAGTGTAGTAGTGCTTGATATCGAGGAGTTCACAGAGAGCATTTACTAGCTTGGAAGTGAACTGCCTACCTCTGTCAGTAAGAAGTGTATGGGGAGCACCAAACTGTGAGAAAACCTCAGTGAACAGGATTGATGCAACCTCGGAGGCTTCTTGGGTGCGCATAGGGAAACCTTCAGTCCAGCGTGAGAAGGAATCAACTGCAAGGAGAACATACTTATAACCTTCCTTAGTCTCAGGCAATGGCCCGAGGATGTCAACATGGAGACGAGAGAATGTGTCCTCAATAGGCATGGGCACCATTGGTGCTGGCTTGGCATTTGTCCTTCTTTTGGAGCGTTGGCAGTCATCACAGGACTTGACATAATTCTCAATATCCTGGTATAAGCCTGGCCAGTAATACTTTGTGAGTATTGTCTGACGAGTGGCATCTCGTCCCAAGTGGCAACCACCAGCTTTGGAATCATGGTAGGCAAAAATAAGCTCTTTGCGACGGCAGACAGGGACAGCTAGCTGTGTTACCATAGGAGGGCGATTGTTTTTCTGACCTCTATGTTTTGCATGATAGAAGTGGTACAGAATACCATCACGTATGTCATACTCTTGAGCAAGGCCAGTTAGACCCTTGACTTGAACATCTGTATAGGTGTATCTGTATTTCACCTTTTTCAATGTAGTCCATGATTGGACGAAGGTCAGGGGATTTACGTTGCTTTTCTGCCAAGTCTTTATCATCAAGATCAGTTCCTATAACAAAGACCATAGGGCCTGAAGGAGGATCGTGAGGACCCGACTTGTAGACAAAGTCTACAGATATAGAGGATGTTATGTCATCTCTACTGATATCTTCTGATGAGACACTGTGTGAGTCAAGAGTGTCATTGTCAATGTTTGTATGCTTTGGAAAGTTGTTTTGTGGAGATGAACATGATTTGGTTGAAGAGGAAGAAGACCTCAGTTGGCTGGAGGGACGAGACATGAATGGTAGTTTGGTGTGGACACTGTTGTTGGAGGATTTTGTAGCAGTGGTGAACGACTTGTTTGTCTTCTTGTCAGTAGGTGGCATGGGACTTGGATGAGCATGGCTGGCTGGTTTGTGAGATAAGGCTGTTGAGGGTGTAGACCTCATATTGCCTGCTTTTGAATAAGCATATTGGCGAGTGAAGGAAGTTGAAGGTGTAGACCTCTTGTTGTCGGAGTGAGAATTAGCATGTTGGAGAGAAGAGGCAGTCGAGGGTGTAGGCCTCATGTTGCCTGCATTGGGATTGGCGTAATGGCAAGAATGAGCAGTCGAGGGTGTAGACCTCTTGTTGTCTGCATTGGGATTGGCATAATGGGAAGAATGGGCAGTCGAGGGTGTAGACCTCTTGTTGCCTGTATTGGCATTGGCATAATGGTGAGAAGTGGCAGTCGAGGGTGTAGACCTCTTGTTGCCTGTATTGGGATTGGCATAATGGAGAGAAGAGGCAGTCGAGGGTGTAGACCTCTTGTTGCCTGCATTGGGATCGGCATAATGGGGAGAAGTGGCAGTCGAGGGTGTAGACCTCTTGTTGCCTGTATTGGGATTGGCATAATGGGGAGAAGTGGCAGTCGAGGGTGTAAACCTCATGTTGCCTTGGTGATGAGGGAATGACACTTTGGGGCTGCTTGATGGTGACATCGAATGTGAAATTGGAGTGGATAAGAGTGGAGATGAAGCAGTGGCAGCTACTTGTGCATATGTGCGGGTTGATGAGATGGGTTCTGTTGAAATGGGTGGGGAGGGTATATCATCAGTGTTAGGTTGATGTACTTGCTCTGCATGAGGAATGCGAGATAAGGCATCTGCATTTGTGTTGGCTTTGCCTGGCCTGTGTATGATCTCAAAATCATACTCTTGCAGCATTAGGGACCATCTACTAAGGCGACCAGAGTCATGTTTGGTTTTCTTAAGCCAAGTCAGAGCTTTGTGGTCTGTGTAAACAGAAAATGATCCATTTGCAAGGTACACCCTGAAGTTTTTAATACCTTCTAGGACGGCCAGGCATTCTAGATGTGTGATACCCCAATTCTTTTCAGCAGTATGGAGAGAGCGACCACCATAACATATTACATGTTCTCTACCTTGAGAATCAAGTTGGCCTAAAATGTACCCTATTGCAGTTTGAGATGCATCAGTTGTGAGGATGAAGGGTTGGTTTTGGTCAGGGTATGCGAGGATAGGAGCAGATGTAAGGGCATGTTTTAGCTTTTCAAATGCCTGTTGACAATTGTATGACCATTCGAAAAATGCATCTTTTTTCAGAAGATTGTAAAGAGGGGAGGCAATGCCAGAAAAGTTTGCTACAAATTTCCGATAATATGATGCCAAACCTAGGAAATGACGCACATCATGGACATTTTTAGGAGGTGGAATCTGTGTGACTGAATCTATTTTGGAAGGATCAACATGGATGCCATCTTTGCTGAAGATATGCCCTAAGTAGGTAACTTGTTTGGTTGCGAATTTACATTTGCTGGGTTTTAGAGTGAGGCCTGCTTCTCTGATCTTTTGGAATACTGCCTTGAGGTGATTCAGATGTTCCGAAAAGGTTTTAGAAAATATTATTATGTCATCGACATATATCAATATGTAACGCCAATTCATCTCTTTTAGTGCCTCTGAAATGGTTTGCTGAAATGCCATAGGAGCATTTTTGAGGCCGAAAGGAAGGCGATTCCATTCAAAAACACCATCAGGCGTAATGAAGGCGGACTTGTGTTTTGTATCTGGGTGGAGTGGTATTTGCCAAAAGCCACTAGCACAATCTAGGACACTAAAGATTTTGGCATGGCTGTCACCTACGGCATCAACGACATCTTCAAAACGTGGCAGAGGAAAAAAAATAGGCTTAGTAACTGCATTGAGGCGTCTATAATCTACGGCAAAGCGGTAAGAGCTGTCACGTTTCTTAACCATGACAACAGGTGAGTGCCACTCAGAAGAACTAGGTTGAATGATATTGGCATCTAACATTTCTTTTACCTGTATTGAACATTCTTTTCTAATGGCTGCGTTTTGCCTGTAAAAAGGGAGTCTCATCGGTCTGGCATCACCTGTTTCTATTCTGTGTTGATGTAAGTGGGTGTGTCCTAATTCTGACCAATCTGAGGCAAAAACTGACCTTTGTGATTGGAGAAATGCACGTAAATGTGTTTGTTGTTCATGTGTGAGGTCAGCATCACTAAGATCAAAGTCAATGTCCTGTGAATGTGTTGTGTTAGCAGTTGTAGAAGTAGGGGGATCAGAATCAGAAGTGTCAGGAAGGTCAAGGACAGATGTGGGGTCAATCTCTGAGGCTACAGCAACCACTGTTTTTGAATATAAAGTGACATGGCTGTCACTCGCATTAAGCAATCTCATGCAAGCTGATTTTGGATTGTTGGTTATAAGGCACTTAGCACCTTGGAGCTGCATGTCATTTAATGCCGGAACTGGTTCAAGAAGAAAAACTTGACCTTGTTGACAATGAGAAATTTTGATGGGAATGTCTGCTTGAGAGTGTGGAGGAATAATTAGCCTCCATTGATTGATGCCAGAGAGACTGAAACAAGACCTTCGTGTATGTGAAGGCATTTTGAGGGCAGGTCTATAGTGACTTTGTTTAATTCAAGGAAGTCAATTCCTAAGATGAGAGAGTGATGTAAGTTGTGAAAGACATGAAAGATTTGGGAGAGGTAGATATGCCCTATGTTAATGTCAAGAGAGACAGAGCCTAGCACAGAATGTTTTTCACCACCTACACCTATGATTTCGGTTAGGTGAGATGGGCGTAAATGAGAGGGTTTGATGCCAACCTTGTTTAAGTAGCCCATGCTGACACAGCTAACTGATGCACCTGTGTCAACAAGAGCTGTAGTTCTCACTTGTTTCACCTTGACATGAACAGTGTTCTTTGTCTAGGGAGCCACAAGTGATACAAAGGCTGACTCTTGCCTGACCCCAGAACGATGAGTATCAGGTATGAGTCCCTGTGGCTGTCGATATTGTGTAAAGTATGCGCGCATGCATACTTTTGCATGGTGACCTATGCGTGAGCAATAATTACAGACTGTATTTCTATGAGGGCAATTGTGAGGGAACCGAAAAAACTCACCACATCCGCAACATCTGCCTCGAAGGTGCTGTGGAATTGGCAGACGTTGACTGTTGCTGGAGCTGTACGGGTAGAAGGATGGCGTCTGTTGTTGTTGCTGTGCTGTGTGGTGGGGCTGAGGTGGTGGGACTGCATACTCCTTCTGTGGTGGCTGATAGTGCTGTGGTGATGGTTGGTATTGTTCCTGTAGTGGTTGATATTGTTCCTGCCGTATCTGGTATTGATGTTGTAGTGGTTGGTACTGCTGTGGTGGTGGTTGGTATTGTTCCTGTGGTGACTGGTATGGTTCCTGTGGTGGTTGGTATGATTCTTGTGGCGACTGGTATGGTTCCTGTGGTGACTGGTATGGATCCTGTGGTGGTTGGTATTGTTCCTGTGGTGACTGGTATGGTTCCTGTGGTGACTGGTATGGTTCCTTTGGTGGCTGGTATGGTTCCTGTGGTGGTTGGTATGATTCTTATGGTGACTGGTATGGTTCCTGTGGTGACTGGTATGGATCCTGTGGTGGTTGGTATTGTTCCTGTGGTGACTGGTATGGATCCTGTGGTGGTTGGTATGGTTCCTGTTGTGGTTGCTGGTGGTATCTTGGTGATGGGGAGGGTGGCTGTTGCTGGACCTGGGGCTCGTGCTGCTGATGGTGGGATGAGGGAGTTGCTGATTGTACAGCACAGACTTTGTTTGTAGTGATCAGCATGGTCACCAAGTTCGTTAATTGCTCAACTTGTTGGACCAAGCTGACCTCTTCCTTGCTTGGGGCCTGCGATTGTACAGCCAGTTGGTCATGGTGACGAACCTCATCCAGGGTCAGTGGCTCCTTCATATACACCCACTGCTTAATCTGTGGGAGTAGCCCATTGATTGCAATGGCTACTATCACAGATTGTGGTAAGCAGGAGTGTAACGCGGATGCTTGGACCCTGGTGATGAAGTCTCCAACGTCCTCCTGTTTCTTCTGTGTCATGTCAAGAAGACTCAAATTGAAAGCTGGCGAACTTCGGAATCGTTGCTGAAAGGCTGCTTTCAGCAAGTGGATGTCCAGCTGTGTGTGCGCAGGCAGGTCCCTGAACCATACTTTAGCAGCTCCGTCCAGGTAGAAGGGCAGAATTCTACAGGATTGGGTGTCTGTGTGACGATGGAGGAAGTTGAAATTGTAGAAATCTGCCCACCAACTTTCAGCATCCTGCTGACCTGTGTATTTGGGGAGATGTATCTGTGCCATTATTGGGGGTTGTTGCTGGGTAAGATGAGACTGACTGTGTTGTTGCTTCTGTAGGAGACGATGGTGTCAGCGGGCATAGTGTGGTGTCAAGCCGTGGAGGGGGTGGTGGTAGTGTGGAGTCAGGTACAGGTAACGTCACAGTCTCAACTTGTATTTCTCAAGGCTGGCTCCAGGCACCGAGGATCGAACGTCTCCACCAATTAAGACAGCCTTTTTGGGGTGATCCCAATAACTGTCAGGCCTCGGTTTGGGGAATTAGCTATTGGGAGCTAGCCTTGAAACAGGAGAGAAGAGAGCTGTGAGGTCCTTAGGGTTTATTCAAGCAAGTGTGCTGAGGACCAACACCCAAGGAGTTATATACCCCCACAGCTCTACTCTTATCACATTAACAATTACTTTGAAGTTGTAATTTCGGTCTCTGTTATCTGCCCTGGGCTGTCAAAGTTGACTACACAAAAGCAGGTGGTAATAGAATGGTATCAGTATTGCCAGAGGAGAGTTTATTTTAATTACAGTTTAAGATGGTGGTCAAAACCTGCGCCAGCTGGTAACAAAACATTTATCAAGAGAACAAGGGCCGGGGCGGACGTACGCGCCGACTTCATCTATGATTATGTAATTTACTGTTCGCGTGAATGAGCTTGCCAAGGAGCAGCCGTCATGGTCGACCAGTGGCGATAAAAACGAGAAATACTGGTCTAGCGACTTTCGAATTTTAGAATTTCCTAGTTTAAGTTTAATTTGTTAAAAATATAAAAAGTGTAATGAAATATATGTACTGTAACACATGCATAGATAACCTGACACCCAGTATTGCAGCGCTGACACGTGTATCGTTAGCCTGACACAGAGTATTGCAGCGCTGACATGTGCATAGATAACCTGACACACAGTATTGCAGCGCTGACACTTGCATAGGTAGCCTGACACACAGTATTGCAGCGCTGACACGTGCATAGGTAGCCTGACACACAGTATTGCAGCGCTAAAACATGCATAGATAACCTGACACACAGTATTGCAGCGCTGACACGTGTATCGTTAGCCTGACACAGAGTATTGCAGCGCTGACATGTGCATAGATAACCTGACACACAGTATTGCAGCGCTGACACTTGAATAGGTAGCCTGACACACAGTATTGCAGCGCTGACACTTGAATAGGTAGCCTGACACACAGTATTGCTGCACTGACACTTGCATCGGTAGCCTGACACACAGTATTGCTGCACTGACACATGCATAGATAGCCTGACACACAGTATTGCTGCACTGACACGTGCATAGATAGCCTGACACACAGTATTGCTGCACTGACACGTGCATAGGTAGCCTGACACACAGTATTGCAGCGCTGGTACATGCAACCCCTAATTTTGTTGAAGAGTTTAGAAAATAAGCATTCATGTTGTATAATTGATCTAAGTTTGAATACTCATTAAAGCCTAAACAAACCTATTTTCAGTTGATCATCGCGTATGATCATCCCGTATGGTGTTCTTAACCCAATGTGGATATGCTTGTCGTAAGGGGCGAGTAAATGAATCGGAGGATCTACCTCGGTGACTTGGTTGACTGCATGTCATCGTGTCCTAGTTGCGTGGATCGATGCTCATGATGTCAGTCACGAGATTGTCATGTCCGGACTCGATTATTTGAACATATTCACGTCATCATAAGGCTTGAGTATTGTGCGGGGATAAACAACAAACAAACAAATTTTAGTCTTAGAGTACAAATGTTTTCCTCTTCAAAACTATGTTTCTTCTGAAAATAGTCGGGAAATTATTTAGAGAAACGAAGCATAATCCCTTTAACTTTATTCTAAAGGCAAGCAATGAACAAATAAGCACACTATATGTGGGCAGTATGTAATTGGTTTACTGACAGCCAGCAGTTCATCATTTAAACCGACCTCCCGGATATAGAGCGGAAGTTGAAGCTGAATGATTGGTAATTTGCTTCAATGTCCGTGTGTATTTCTTAGGCGCCTGCTTGACACTAGTTATGAGGAAATGAATTAACCTTTTAGAAAATGTGTACCAGAGTAGTACCCCAAGGCTCAATCACTAACATGTTTGGTTCTGTGACGTCAGAAGTCGTGCTTTCGATGCCCTTTCATCACTCAACCTGGTAATACTTGCGCCAGATTCACCTGCAAATCGTCCCGTCAGTTATGTGGCAGTAGTAACATCTTTATAAATGTCACATTTCAGCTATCAACTGAACAGGAAGTCGTTTGTGGTTGATTTTAATGATCTGGGTAACAGAAGTAGTTGAAACAATCGGGTTATTGTTAAAAGTAGAAATGCTGCGGCAGTTGACATCATGAAGAGAAACACGTGTTCAGTTGTGTTTGCGTAGAAAGCGAAATATAAACTTTCTGTGCTAGCATTAGCCATGGAACACATAAGAAATCTGAAACAAGCATGTGTGATGAGGTGATTCCAAATTGAAACGACGAGGTTAACACATAAATCGGTTCTCACAGAACTAAATTGTGAAACTAGTAAATAACCACAGGAGTTCAATGAACAATCAATATATCATCCAGGGGTAGAAAGTTTGCATGCAGGAAAAGCTTTCTTTAAAATGGACAAATTATCTGGTGCTTGTCAAATGTCTTACAAAGGTAAGAAGCAGGTGAAAGATGCGGTTTGCATCTTCTTATAACACTACACCTGCACCAATGCCATTTGCATCAACTAGACTAGAGAGTTAGTGAGTGTGCCCTGGCAGTGGTTATCCCAAAGACATTTTGTAACTTTGTTCAACAAATTCGAGAGAGGGGACGCTACACCAGAGACAGTTTGACAGGCGTTAATGTTGTAACCAGTAATACCCAGAAATCCTATAACGTTCGTTTTGCTTGTTGGAACTAGACAATTTGTAATACACTCTACTTTTACCTCAATCGATTGTGCATGACCTTGACCGACTACATGACCTAAAAAGATAGCATGAGCCTGAGCAAATTTTATATTTTGAACAAAATTACAATCCACTTTGCCTCTGATATACGTTGTAAGTCGCTATACAGGCCTGAAATGTCATTGATGAGGCTTTGAAAGGTAGCCAGTGCATTTTTTTTAATTCAACTGACATACTTTGCACTGATAAAGTACATCTGGTGCATCGGCCTGCACGCTGAGTCAGTAGGACCCGGTTTCACAAACAATGCATCACTTTCACCGTAAATAGATGAACAAACTCGTGAATAATATCTGACATCTGTCTCTGTTGTTCTGAAGTAAGGTGAGCTTGTTTAATATCAAGATTGCTTAACACCTCAGTGTGTATAGGACGAGGCTAAACCTTCTCCCCAAAATCATCAAACTAGCTCACGTGCTCACTGGTAAATTCCGAATTGCACTCATCTGATACAGATTCAATTGGCCGACTTGGTGGCACTGTTTCAGACCTATCATGATGTGGCTATATCATTTTATTTTCGGCATTTTACGGCTTGGACAGTGAGGTTAGCTGTCATTTTGTCCAGCGATAACTTCAAGCAAGGGACGAACACAATCAATAATGACCAGAGTGAATGGATCTTCAAACGCTGGGTTCAAAGGGTCGTGTGTGTGTGTGTGTGTGTGTGTGTGTGTGTGTGTGTGTGTGTGTGTGTGTGTGTGTGTGTGTGTGTGTGTGTGTGTCCGTGTGTGTGTGTCCGTGTGTGTGTGCCCGTGTGTGTGTGCCCGTGTGTGTGTGTGTCCGTGTGTGGGTGTGGGTGTGTGTCCGTGTGTGTGTGTCCGTGTGTGTGTGTGGGTGTGTGGGGTGTGTGTTCTGATTAGGTTTTCCTACCTCCTGACTTGCAAAACAATTCTTACAAAACTGTGAAACAAAACATAGCAGCTACAAGATACATGGCCACTCCCAGTGTCAGTATACCATATACCAGGAAAGGGGTGTAACGAGGCCAAATCAAAGCTGTATTTTTTTTAGCTAGCGTCTTAAGAAGCTCAAATTATCGTGATTTTTCTATTCCGATCCAAAATACCAGCTCAGGATTTGTACATCTAACTTACCGATTTACTTGTTTATTGGAACGTGCACACAAATTCCACGCGATGGGACCTGTCAGCCCGCCCATCGTTATTCTTTCCGCGTCGCATAAACCTGATGGTATAATGAGTTTACGTACATTAATACTTTTCAATAATCCCTTTGCCGTGCCCCGTCCGCCATAGACGACCTTGGCCTTGACATACCCCGCACCAATACCCTATAACAAAACATCCGCATTAGACACTTCCGAAAATGGCAGGACGCCCTCCAACAGCAAAGACTGGGTCCCAATGTTCCTTCCTAACAACAGCAGCGTTTGGGAGCTGAAAACACAAACATACTCCTTTTCGGTGTTAATGACATCAAAAATAGGCTGCGACAGGATAAAAACATGGAAAAAGATCTGTGACCGATTGCTGACCTGCGTATACGACAATCGACACTCAAATGACCTGACTTGTGAACATATCTACATATAATACCTGAAAACAAACCTCAATCCTGTTTCGAAACAACTTGGGTGTCTGATTTGTTAGGGGATGAACTATCCAACTTGCTAGGGTTCGAATCTGTATGAACAGGAGAAACTGACCTTTCCTGATCTGAAATTACCCTGATCATTCCCGGGGGAGTGACTATACTGTCTGAAATTCCCATTATAAATAGCCGGGTAATCGTGCAGCCTGGTGTAACTGATCTACCTTCTGTCCATCCAAGTACGTCATTATATCAGCACGCACACAATGCTTGAAATCTTCGAACAAAATAAGCTGCCTCAACTTGTCAAAATCCTGGCCAACATCCTTCGATAAACTCCACCTATCAAACAAAGCCTCCTTTTTCCAAGCAGACTCCGAATACGTATCATCAGTCCTTTTCATTGAATGCTTATATGTTTGCCTACATGTATTAGGGACCAACACATAAGCCTCTGGTTAACAGGGAATCACTCTGGTTAAATCATCAATTTAGAAGCCCATGTCACATTGACA